TGTACCGAGTTTAAGCTTGAAAAATTATAGACATGTTTATCATCCCAGCTTCCCAGCAAAAGAGTTCCAATTTGGGTCCCCCCGATGTTAAATTTTAGAAGTGGAATATTTTGTTTCAGTTTGTCTACAACTCTACTTGAACCTTATAAGTTAAAAGTTGAACTACAGGATCAAGATGTCTCGATGTTATTTAAACATGAATTTCAAGGTATAATGATGCTTAATTGGGTTTTGAAACCAATTTTAACCGATTTCTCGTACAATTTTTACGTCAGGAACAGTCATCAAAATGAGTTTGTAACAAGGTTGATATTTTAGTTATTTTCAAGCTCTCGATCAGAAAATAAATCTAAGCTTTTATAGGGGGTACTAACTACATCCAAATTCACAGGAATGCAAACTTACATCCAATAAATGCAAACTTACATCCAATAAATTCCTCTTAAGAATGGAAGGTCGATCCAGCATTCCGGAGTCCAAATCAGAGTCTGAGTCATTTAAGTTATTGAAGAGAGACTTGTTGGGAGTGCTAGATCTGCGATGGGGTTATGATTAGAATCGTGACATTCAAACATAATATCCACAAAGAGAATGAATAATCAATAAATGAATGTATAGATTTCATTCTCAATTCTGATCATTCACTTAAATATATTACTTTAATCCGAATTAGTTAATTTGCAACCGAAAACAGAGTTTTTAGAATCCCAACTAAAATAACAAAGTGTGACTGAAGAACATGGAACTTACTCGAACTTATCGGAGAATCTGAGCGCACTGCGAGGAGCAGAGGGAACAGGAGACAATCCTGGGGAACCAGGCCACAATCGGGGGGACTCGAGCATTATTTGATGTGCTGAAGAGTGGGGTATCAATCATTAACAGCATTTAGAGATCAATGGAAATTAAGAAGATCCTCCTTGCAGTTTAAGGGTAAACTGATGTAAAATCGTGCAATCGCGACATTTACTCCATTTTACACAACCAGTCGTCTGATCATACTTTACAATAAGGCCACAGAATCATGAAGATAAATAAACACAAGCAAAAACTAAAATCTACACGTATTAGTTCCATACCTGAAACATTGGGAGAAGCTAAAGGTAAAGGAACGTGGCTTCCTTTAAACTTCTTTACCAGTGTAGGTGTAAGATGAGGCAAGCTCCTCCCCCCTTCACCTTCATCTTCCCAGTCATCCTCATCATCCAACTCCTCCATATCTTTGAAGATATCCTCACCTTCAACACTGGCATTCTGATCTCCTGCTCCTCCCCAAAATGTGCTGATCACAGAACTCCCTGAAGGACCATGGTTTTAAAAGATACTGTGGTTAAACTTGAGTTTCATTAACTTGACCTGACCTGGAGAAACGACCTTTTGTCCCGAGAGTAAATTGCAAGACCAAGCCAAATATGTAAAATCCCCCAAATTTACAAGTATTCCATAAAATACCTTTACTTCGCAAGTACTCCCGCCAGTCCTTGAAAAAGTTGACCCAGCTGTAGCGTTTTACAGAAGGGTCCGCTAAAAGATCCGGCACGTTTGGTCTCCGGTCTGGATCCTTGCTCACCATCACTGTTATTATCTGCCTTAACGAGGAACTGTACCCTGAAAGTGATGGAATGAAAGTTATGTGGATAATTATCTAAAGTGCTATAGTAGAAATAGATCCTATTTATTGACTGACTCGTTATTTGAATCGCATTCCTTCGCGTGGGTCGAATCACTCCTGTACTGTGTTGAAGATACCATACCACTGCACTTTCTACGTTCACAACATAACATATTTGTTATGTTAATGTCGGAGATTCTTTTACAAAACATTCGTTAACTGCGACATCAAACTAAATTCTAGTGGCCAGATTGTTGTCACATGATACTACACCTTCTCATGGAGTGCAGTACAGAGAAGTACAATTTACCAAAAAAAGTTGTTGTAGCTGTTCTCTCGTACCTATGATGTTGAAACGTTTACAGGTTGTAGCTTTTCTTATAGTTGTTGGTAAAAACGCTGCATTTTTCGGAAACCACAATAAATTTGGTGATAAATTTAAAGATATTGGAAAAGCAATAGGTGATGGAATTAATAATGTTATCGATGATGCGAAAGATAAAATTGAGGTGGCGATCGAAGAGGTGGCAGAGAAAGCATCCAAGCGTTTCATTAAAATTCCCAACTTTGCAAAGAAAGTTCGGGAAGATTTTAATAAGGGATATGAAAATTTCAAGGCAAGGCAAGACCGTTGGAGGAAAGACAGTTGGATAGTCAATACTGAAGCTTACAATGAATACAAGTTAAATAGGTTCAAGTTGTTCTTGCACAACTACGAGATTTTTAAAGAGACCGAAGCTGAAGTCGAAACACGAAGTTTTCGCCGAGACGAAACGGTCAAGTTTATGTACATGAGTGACAGCGAAAAGAGATCCTATGTAGGGTTGGGTAATCTAACAGAACTTGAGGAGGAATTGGAGAGGGAGCTGCCGCTAGATAGCGAAGGTGAGGACAACATAACTCAAAAAACTGATAAAATAAATTGTAAGAAGATTAAAAACCGGATAGAACGAAAAAAATGTATAAAATCCGAAAAGAGAAAGAAGAAAAAGAAGAGAAAGAAGGAAAAGAAAAGAGGAAAAGGGGGTGGAGCTGTGCTGAGGTTGGAAAAGAGACTGCAATCAGGTTTGGCAGAATCATTGGACCTCAGGGATTCAGGGATAATAACCCCTGTGAAAGACCAGGGAGAGTGTCAATCTTGTTGGGCTTTTGGTGCGGTTGGTGTGCTGGAGGGTGCGTTTGCTAAGGCAACAGGTAGTTACAATATCATAAGGATGACTACACTGAACTCGAAAATTGTGCACTTTATTTAACTGAAAACAAATAACAAGAATTTACATGGTAATAATTTCAGGTATTCTCCAGGACTTCTCGGAGCAGCAAGTTATTAACTGTAACCCCAAGTTTGGTTGTAAGGGTGGATACTGGACCCGTGTGTGGAAGGAAATCAAGGAAGAGGGCTACATAGCTTTGGAGAAAGACCAACCTTACCTTGCACACAAGGACCCCACTTGTAGTCGAACTACACCTAACGGCCTCGCGGGTAGTTTGGCAATTGATAAATTCCAAGTCCTGAGAAAAAAGAACCGGGAAGAGACGATGTTAGGGTTCTTAGCTAGAGATGGACCTGTTACAGTTGCCATCATGGCTAACGACACCCTTTATTTCTATGGGTCAGGGGTGATTGACTACTGTATGGGTGGTAAGGGCGGGCTAACACATCTGGTGCTCCTGGTGGGATACGATCACCAAATTCTTATAATGAAAAATTCGTGGGGGACGGACTGGGGTGAGAAGGGTTTCTTCCGCGTTGCTAGAGGGTGTGGTTCTATCAATAAGGGCTACTCTTTCTGGGCTTCCAGCCTGTCAGTAGTGTTACACACCACCTATACGACACTCGAATACGGTGAGGACTTTTTTGAGTTTACAGAGACTACACCACAGAAAATATCTAAAGACATGACCGGTGTAGGAGTCCAAGAAGGCGACCAGATTACTTTGAAGTTTCTTAAGAATGTAAATCCGGTGGACAACGCGTTTACAGTCGACTTGCTGTTTGCAGATGAGAAGGAAGTCAGCAAAGTTTACAGACTTCAGTATAAGTATTTTGAATCGGGAGATAAGATAATGACCATGTGCAGGCAATTCGCGTCTCACGCAGGCGAAAAACCCTTAACAACAAAACAGAAAGTTTGCTCTGTTGCTCCTGGATCTAAAATCCAGATATCGGTAAGTGATGAGGGATACTCTGTTCAATTTGACGGCACTGCCCTTCAGCTTTACCCTCACCAGTTACCAGTAAATCTGGTTAACAAGATTCAAGTCAAGAGCTCACAGAAAGTGTTCGAATACTTCAAACTGACACGACGAATTGAAGAACCAAATACTGGGATTGAGCCTTGATCAGCACAGTCCTGTTTTATAGTGGATGACCCACTAGTTGGTGATTCGAAGCGAACCTAAAATACTAGAACCTTAGACAATTGTTCAACCAATTAGACTTTAGAACTGTTTAATTGATGAATCCGTATGATAATTTTGCTGCACATTATTAATAGAGTATAATAGGAAATTTGAATATTCTTCTAGAAATGAGAAAAACTATCCAAAGTATAGCCCACTGGCCACTCTCATGTGCCGCATTTCATACTTTCGGGCTGCTTACTGCTATCGACTCTCGGGCTGTCACGTGATCATAATTTTAAGGACGAGCTTGGTGCGCGTATCGCGCGCATTAATTCCATTTTCGCGTCAAGAGGATTACAAGAAAACGGTAAGTCTGCTAGTGATTAGTTGATATTTCACGGAAAGCTTGTGATTGCGCGGCATAAATGAAGATATGATTTAATGTGCATATTCGTTCGTGATGATATAATTAGAAAACACCAAGTCACTTTGACTGTCGTCAAGCGCGAGGTGCTTGAAAATAGAAGATTTTTGAATACACCCAATAATATGCTTAAGGAGTTAGGAATGGAATTAAGAAGGAACTAAGTAGTAAATGGGTTAGGAATTAGTCAGCAGATATACGTAATATTCAAATTAAACTAATTATTTTATTGACTGTCAGCAATAAGTTAATTTTACCAGTAGTAGGGGGCAAATCTCCATTTCTCAACGAATGCCAGACAGGGCCATTGTTTGGCAACTCAACTTCCGACATGATCTCTAGCATGCTGATACCCAGACTGAAACAAAAATCTTTTAAAAACTTGTTTTGCGGAGAAATGGGGTTAACGTTCATGAAATCTTGACTTTATACAAAGAGCAATTTAAAATTATTCGAGGAAAAGTAAAACATTCATGTCACATCATTCGTAGGGCTATAAGTCCAATAGTTCGTTCTGGTAACGACTCTAATGTTCTCCGCACTAAGTTGGAAGATCTAATAATATAAAAACGATTAAGTACCTAAAAATGTCGGCCTTAAGGTCGCATCTCCGATCAAGCAGTTCAGGAGCGAGATACTTGGAGTCACCTTCTATAATATCTGTCTTGTTCAAATCGTTTACTGTAACTGATAATCCAAAGTCGCCTGAAATACTGTTGGTTAGCTTACTTGATATAATGAGTTTGCAAAATACTCACTTATTGCAAAATACACAGTACACACTTATATTGGTTAAGATGATACAAAGTGCATGATAACTTAAGACTGGAAAATTGATAAGACGGGTATAAAAATTAGATAAGAAGAATCAGAAATAAGATAAGAACTTAGCATCGAATGTTATATGGATGAACCGAGGAATGGGGAATATTTTGATCGCAGACCAGCCATAAAAAAGTAGTTCCTATATATAATAACCAATTACGCGAAAGGTTCGAAATTCGACTTTTGAACTATTTTATAAGTTATGAAAATCGATTCTAGCACTGTATGGTTGAAACTTGAGACTAGAGAGGACTTCATGTCTAGTGTCAAATGTATACTAGGTTGCTTAATAACTGGAGCTTCCAAAACACTAATCTGAGAAGAACTAAGAAACGTAGAAAGGTACAAAACTCACCTATTTTGTACATGACACTATTGGCAGTGCTCCTCCGGAAGATATTATCTGGCTTTATATCCATATGTAGTAAATTGTTGCTGTGGAAATGTCCCAACCCCTGAATTGGATCAATTTAAATGGTTCAATATGAAATGAAAATGAATATGAAATGAAATATGATTAATGTGCATATCGTTGTATGAATAATAAAACAAATCCCTTGTGGTCACGCGATTTAAGATAGTTTGAACACCAATAATATAAATGTTAAAATAGTAAGAAGACTGATATTGCTTGGTTAAAGTTAGTCACAGTTCGTAATTAATAACTAATTTTTTATTGATGTTGCAAAATTATTTTAACTAGTGGGTATCCCATTTCTACAATCAGACAGGTGTGGCAAAATCAACTTCGACAGTCTCTAGCATGCTATATCCTAGTCTAAATCAATCTCTTATAAAAAGTTTTCAATAAATGTTAACGTACAATAAAATCTGACTTTTCACAAAAGATGCATAAAATTATTGAGAAAGTAAAATTCATGTCACTCTTGATATAGTCCAATCTTCTGTACGACTCATATGTTCTCCGCACTGTTGGAATGATTTTTAATATAAAACATTAGTAGCCTAAAAATGTCGAGCTTAATGCATCTCTAAAGCATTCAGACAATATGGATTCAAACTTCTATAATGATTCAGTTCTTTTCCAAATGTTTAGTAACGATTAATCCCTAAACGATAAAATCTGTTGTTATCGCTTTACTTGATGTTTGGGTCGAAAATAATCATTTTGCATACGAATACCATTCACACTTTAGATTTAGAGAGATACAAAGTTGTTATTCTTAAACTGGAAAATTGATAAGACGGTATTAAACTGTAAGAACATTCAGAAATAGATAAGAACTAGATCGAATGTATTGGATGATGAGTGGGAATATGTGAAGTTATATCAGTTCGACTTATATAATACCTTCGCTGAAGTTCGAAATTCGATTTTAAACATATTATAATTATAAAAATTTTCGTTCTACACCTTTGTTAAACTGAACGGGGCTTCTGGTCTTTCAGAACTAGTCATAACGGAGTTCCAAACTCTTCCCTGCAAGAAGACTAAAACCAGAAGGTACAAATCACCATTTTGTCTGCATTTGGCAGTGCTCCTCCGACCATATGGTCATCAACTGACGCAAGTGTCAGGTACTAACCATTTTATAACGGTTGTAAATGTGTGAGTTTTTGTAGTTTATCCCTAGTTAAATATCCTCGAAAGTTTTAATAAACTCATAAAGTAAAAATGAAAGTTTACAAGATTTACAGGAGCTTACAGATAAACAATGATGGAGTATTCTCCACACTTCGCACTCATTCAGTCTGTTGTTGTTTCTCTTGACGAAACTTGCCAAGCTCTCGTCACAAAGCTCCATCTGTATGTATAAACTTCTCCTGCAAAGATTCAACTTTTTTAAATGATAGAAGTAACCTGAAACGCAGAGAAAAGTGATTTCGTGGTGAACATTTTGAAAATTGTTGAACGAAATCAATTTTAGAGATTATGAAAGCATAAATGCTGAAAGTTGATTGAATGCTGATTTCGTGGTGAACATTTTGAAAATTGTTGAACGAAATCAATTTTAGAGATTATGAAAGCATAAATGCTGAAAGTGAATGTCATGGCGACCGTTAAAATTTAAGTGAAAGTTAATTATTTGATATTTATGAATTGAAATATTTACCCTTCCTCCCAAGCTTTATAAAATTTGACACAGTTCGGATGTTCAGAGAGTGCCTCGTGTTTCCTAACTTCTTCTACTGCGAGAGAGTTGTATTTCTCAGATACCTTCACTGCATATTCTATCCCGTCCACTTTGTCTTTACATTTGTACACCTGCAAAAGACGTGATAATTTTTAATAGTACATACATCGAATTGCAGACCTCGGAACTCCCGACCAAATAAAATACTGACCATCAAAGTTTCCGATTTTTGCAATAAATGGCCGAAATTTTGATATTAAAATTCCTGGGTGCCGGAATAAAATGCAACACCTTAAAATATGTCGCCGGACATTATATGCATGGCTTTCTAGGACTGTGCTTAAAAGTCACTCTTTAGCGTGCATGGTTTGTACTTGTTGATTGCGTAAATAAGTTAATTGCATAGCTTAGGGATCTATAATACTATATTTTAAACTTGAAGAAATCAGTAAAACTCACCCTTCCAAAAGAGCCCTCCCCGAGGACCATTGTTGTCTGGAAACATTGCTGTAAGTATGTCTGCTTAGCTTTATCGCTGTACCCCGGGGTTGAAAGAAAACTATCCGAGTCTAAGCCCCCTAACACTTTGGGTCCGGCGAACAGAGATCTCTTGGAACATATTCTGGATACAGTGTTGTAGCGATGGGCAGGTTTTGAAGGTTCTGGTGTGCGCTCCTGTTCCCGCTTGTCATATCTACTGCTGAATTTTGGAGGAAGATGAGCATTTGGAATGGAAATAAAAGTTATAATTAATAATACACTGTACAAGTTTTCTTACAAAAAAGTTAAGAGAACTGCTAAACTTGTCGAATGGATCCAAGAGCTTATCAATAAAACAGGTGATTGTGATGATTGAATGCAATAAAGTAACCATATCGGTTATCAGCTCAGCATTCAAAAAGATTAAAACAGCTTGATTGTACTATATGAGTGAAACTGTGAAATTCCAAAGTACCTGTAATTGAACTGCTCTAAGATGTCAGGGCAGGGCAAGGAATGTCGTTGAGAATGTCGTGGATTTTTGTTGACAGGAGTAGAAGTTAGGTTTGAGTGTTGGGCCAACATAATATCAAGTCATTTGTCATTATCACTGCGACGATCTAAACGTGTTAGGGTTTAAAAGTAATAATATCAAGCAATAAACAAATAATTAGGATTGGGATGCTATGCTCAATCTATCAAGACATGTGAACTTAACAATTTCTGAAAGAGAAAACTCAATATTGGGCATTGGCTGTTTAATGTTCAGGGGGAATTCACACCAATAAATGTCGTAAAACTAATATATTCATATCTTAATTCTATTTCAAATCAAACCAAACAGTAATGACACAAACATCATCACACGTCATCATAAATTTAACAATTAGTGCAGACCCAATAAAATTGTATCGCATCAAGCTTTTCACAAATACTAAATTTAGTAAATAAGTTAATAAAAAGTTTTTTAACAACATGTGAATAACACCTATATGTTAGCACCTCTCTCCTTTAATATCAAGTTCATAAAATCTGTAACCATATGTATACTGTATAGGTGTTGTATTTACCACAGGCAGTGCACAGAATTACACAGTAGCTTAAGGCCAGAGGGGGGGGTAAGGGGTCAAAAATTTCTACCAAAATATTATTTTCTAAATCGATTTAATTTTGGATGACAAAAACATTGCTGCTATTCACATATTTGTAGCTGATTAACTTTATTTTATAATTGAGGTTAACCGATTTTCACAAAATTGACTATACAA